CCTTCAGGTAAACCAAAGGAAAACATAAACGGCCCTCCTGCTTTTCCTTATTTTCAGACTTTATTTTGCCTTTTCCATCGAGGTCTTGTTGCCATCTTACGGCTCATTCCACGCAGGAAACTGAGGCATGCCGCTTAGTCGAAACATCTTCTAACTTTTATGATACTTCAGTTCTGCTGCTGGCTTTGTAGTCATTTCGGCACAAATTGTAACATTGTTGGTTTACTTTTTATTTCCCCTTTTTTTTGAAGAATGTTTGGGAGTTGGGACTTTGAACCTTGAGCTTTCTGTTGTACAGTTTTATCTCAGTCTCATGGCTGGTCAGGAAATGTGCTGGTGAAATGCTTCAATAATGTCTCTTTTCAGTATGTGCGCTTAACACCATTGTCTGCTGGGATTTGTTGGGATATTGACCTAAAAAAAACAAAATCTATTGTCTTTTAATTTTAAGCCTCCAGCGTTCTATTTTGTTAATTGTTCAAATAAAGGATTGTGCAAAAATAAGTTTGCTAATGAAGTGTAGTCAGAAGACTACTTGGCTTTCTTATAATGGTAAATACTGAAACATCTGCAGTCTCTACAGCCTGGACTGGCCTACCGAATAATGTGCACAATAAACCAAAACAACAAAACGATCCACGAGTCTTGGTCTACCGCACACTGCTAATTGGTTTTCTTGTTCCTGCATGTCAACACACACTATTTGTAGCATGTTGTATCTCCCCTTCCTGTGGTCTCGCTGCCCGCATCGCTCTCTTTAGGCCCAGGCTGAGCTTGCCTGTTTGCTTTAATGGGAAGTAGAATCTTTGAAAAATGTGCAGTGCAAGGTTTTTCTGCCCTTTAGTATTCCTTACTATTTATGCCTTCCTTGCTATAGCTCTGCCGTCCAATGAAATGTGGCTTTGCACTTCAACTTGCAATCAAGCATAGTATTTTCCTTGTTAAATGTCAGAGAGCTACAAGGAATCCTTTTTTACAGTCCCAGAGCCTGAAGGGCAAATTACATGTTTGACACCCACTGATGGACCACCTATACTCACCAGTGTCTCCTTCAGCCATACTTTAGGGATAATCATGTATGTACATGTTTTAGCCTGGTCACCATGGGTGTTTTTCTGGGAATGCGTAGGACATTTTTCAACACAAGCAAGTTAAAGGTCATAGTAGTGCAGCAACCGCCGGGGCATAGAACCAGGAGCAACAGATTGGGGCTAAATGGTACCTCACTGTAATATGAGCATGTTATTGTTTCATTTAGATAATTATAGTTATTCACAGGAGATGACCAATCCAGAAATGTCAAAGAACATGCAGCAGCAAATGGGAACAATGGGGCATTGTGACATCTACCTGCTCCACATCCCATATATGACTTGTTTAATATGTCCATTAACCCTTTGTACTGAGGTGTCTGAGTGATAAAGCTTCGTGATCCAGCTCATCTAATGGCTGATGCATGCAAACAAACAGAAAAAGCTCAAAATGAGGTTGTTAAATAGTAAATAAATTGGCAATTAAATAAGTGATAACTCACACACTGCAAATTTGGTGTGAATGCAGCTATAGGAATTTGAGCCAAATCTGATTGGCTTAGCAGACAAATTGTCCTGTACTTTATATAATGTGCTGAAAGTGCTATGTCTGCAAAAAAAGAAATAAAAAGATTTAGAAAAAAAGAACAATCTCATTGGCTTGTTAAATCTGATGTTTCTGACCTAGGCAGCCAACAAAAATCTCACTGTCCTATTGCAAAGTTTATGGGTTGGTAGGCACTGAAGATACTCAACTTTATATGCACAAGAATTGAAAATGTGAGGGGGAAAAATCACTTCTTGGAGTAAATGAAGATAAGAAGATATTTCTTTATTTTAAGTGGTCGCAAGCCAAAAAAGGTCAGGTTTAGTACACATTACTGATTATACATTCACTTTCCATCTGAAGGCTGTAAATAGCAGTTACTTGTGCCATAAGTGTTGGCTCTGAAGTTTCTCTGTAAAACTTCTGGCCTTGAATCTGGATTGCCTGGCATGTGCTCTGTCTGTGCTGGTCCTCCATTCAAGATGTTACCAACCACTAAAGCCACAGTATGCAGGTTTCTTATCTTGTGTGCTTTCATTTGAATTATCATGGCCTCTCATCAACTCTTTATCCTCGTAGGAGTGATCTCTCTCTGCATTTCCTGTCCCATTACGATCTAGTTTGTTTTTATAATCAGACTCCTACAACATATGGTGCCTTCATTAAGTCTCCCCTAGTTTTTCCCCTCTGAATCTTATTTGTTTTGCGTCTTGTTTAGAGCTCCAACAGGTCTCCACAGTTTCTAAGGAGAGGCAAACACTGTGGCAAACACGGTTTCTAAGACCTCCACAAGCCCCCCTGTCCAAATAAACCAGTGTGTGTGAGTCCTTGAACTTCCCAAAAATGAAAACTAGGGTCCCACCTGCTCGACATTGTATCAAGTTATAAAGTAAACAAGAAGTTTCAGTGGTGTAATCTCTGTTTTGTCTTGAATTGAGACTAATCCAGAGTTGTGAGTTTCCATTTAGTACGAGTTATAAATCAGAATTGACGTGGCAGAGCGGTGAATAACACTTCTGAGAAGAACCCTCTTCCGTCATGGACATTGTAATGCACTCAAGTCTGAGTAACCTGTTTACGAACGTTTGTCACAAGGGACTGCTTGGGATCGGGAAATGCAGATCAAGATTTATGTCATCAGAGCATCTAATACAAGCATCATAATCTAGGAAACCCACTTCGTCACAACATCGACCCTTGTCTGGCAATGGTTTTGTCAAAAATACTGAGAGATTTATATCAACTTGATCTTCTGATTTACAGTGTGTCAAACAAGACATCAGGAAACCATTGAGATGAAAGCCAAATGTGTCTTTTGAAAGGTCTGTGAAAACAAAGAGATGGTGATGAATTTTAAAAACAAAAACAAAATGTGGCATACACAGGTTTCTGATGGCTGTGTGTGAGTTGGTGTGTTGACTACTTCGGTCACCTTCAAGTTCCATAGTAAAACGAAACATCTCAATGTAAATTATTTAACGTGGCACTGAAATAAAGAGAAACAGTCTGTCTTCAGTAATGCAGTGCATGAGTTGTAACCTGGATAATGTTATGATCATGTGAACGCAGTAGAAAATACCAAAACGTTTCATGTTCCATGTAAACGTAATATCCCAAATATGATCAGAATTCAGTTTTGATACACAGAAACATGTGCTTCCACATCTGGATGGGTTCATATAAAGATAATCAATCTGTAAACGTAGCTGCAGCCAATTCAAATTATGTGTTATTACTGAGGGTGATGGTTCTATTTTATTTCTGGAAAAAACATGCTTTCGCATTAAGGTCATATTCTGATATTGTTGGAAGTAAGTAGCCAGCATTATACCACTAAATGGATCTCAATATCATTAATAAAGTCAGAAATATCACCATTTATATCATCTCTGGATTGGGAGGCTTTATTATAGGAAAATTATATTACTGAAATGACAAATTGTCCTATCCCAAACTATACAGCACAAAGGATTAATTGAAATTAGGACAGAAAGCCCTTTCTAGCTCAGAGAATAAATTACTAGAAAAAAAAAAATAGTATTTCCAGACTGTTGGCCTGACGATATAGATGGACCCCTATGAGTTTGATCTTCCTTTCTTGTTCTGTGTCACAAAACATACTTGTCCTTTTCCTGTACAGAAATCAAGCTCATGATGGAATAAAATGTTAACTATTTGGGTCATAACCTTTATATATAGCCTACAGTCTATGGTCATAACACACCCTCTGCAGAGCCAGGAAGGAGATACAACACGGACAGTTTTCAATGCAGATCCTTTTTCACCTCTTTATCCTCTCTAATTATGTGAAATGTTTTAATACTGTATTTACTGTCATGTGATCATAGTTATGTTAAGTTTGACAGCAGTGCCTCTGAAAGACAAACTAATGCAGATTTAAATGTATTAGCACACCTTTAACAAATTAGATCCATAATTAATTTGACATGTAAAATGATATGTTATGTGCTTGTATCTTTACATTTAATTTCCTACATCTGGATGTATGGATTAGCAACAATTATGACAGCATTGTTTCCAATTATAGAAATGACACATTTCGACCCATTGGTTTTTCCACAACCTGGCAGTTCTACATTGTTTATGCCTTACAATCGTTCAATAAAGCATTAGTAAGTTATTTATTGAACATTAAGAAAGCCTTTAGTAACAACTTATCCCGAATATCGCTTGTAAAATTAGTGTTATTTTCCAGTGAATATTTTTTAAAAGTAGTCGTGGTGATTTTAGATCTCCTTGTTCCCTCTGTTTAGTGTGTTGTTCACAGGTGGAATAAGTACTCAGATCTTGTACCCATTTCTGAATTATATACATCATATATTTTGATTATAATTATTGATGCAATAAAGTATTTATCAAAGTTGGTAAAATTGCTAAGTTTAATTCCTTTGTATAGCAGGGCTTGTGGATTTACTCCAGGTTTGACTAAAGTCTTATTGAAGTGTCAATTGAATATCATATAATTAATCCAAATCTGCAAAATAATTTAAGTTATAAAACAAATGTAGTGGAGCAAAGGTGCACTTGTGCACTTGTAAATTGCAAACAATTGAAATATTCAAGTAAAGTACAACTCTCTCAAAAATGATGCTTAAGTATAGCACTTGAGTAAATGTACTTAGCAACTTAACAGCAGGGGTGTCGTAAAGTTTGAAGCGTGTCTGTAGCTGGGTAGTAACTGTCAGTGATTCAGAGGCTGATCTGACATCAGCTTTCTGATTTACAGGATCTGTAGTTTTCTTCCTGCTCGTCAGCGCGCGCACTCTGCAGGAACATTTTTGATTTGAGGGCGGCTGGCGAGTGGGGGAGTGGGGAGAGACAGTCATGTTTTCCTCTGCTTCTGAGGGGTATCCTTCTCTATATAAGGCACTGTGAGCTGCTCAGGAGTCCCACAGCTCCTGTGTGCTTCAGGAACACCGCCAGCAAGCAGCAGCTCGCGCTCTCATAAGGGAATACTACTCCGCGCGCACAGGACAGCGAAATATTCCTCTGGACACTAGTGAAGATAGAGGTGAGCGAGATGAGACATTACACACATTTGTTTGCAATGGGTTGGATCGATTTCACTGTCTGGAGTTTCACCCATACTTTACAACTTTAAAATGCATCTGTCGATTGAATGTTTCTCATAACTCTGTCATTATGCTGCTGTCAAATCCGTGTTTCAGTGCTGTACGATACCAGTCACCTCTGTGGAAACATTGGTATAACTGCCTTTTTTAATTTATATTTGAGTTTTGTAATAATGGACCAAGAGTCTCTTTAAATAAATAATCATCCCCTAGCAAAACGAATTAACGATGCAACTTGTGACTGACGTGATTTTGTGTAAATGAAACTTTACTCCTCTTCCTAATCCCTTTTTATTCACTCAGAATGAACATTAATTTATGACGGGTGAAACAGGGTTGCAAACCTTTCCACTGTAAAAGAGGCTGCTGCCAATACACTGCCATTCATTGTGAGTGTGCAGCTTTCCATGTTAATGGAAGAGCAGTAGCTACCATGATGGAAAATAAATATACAGGCACCGTGCTAATGAACCAAGCATTTATATATTCTAAAATGTAATGCTAGATTTTAAGTCATCAATCACATTAGAACATTCACCCCAAAATAAACTTTACAGTTAGGGGGTCAACCATTGTACATTACAATTGAATTAGTGTGCCAATCTTCAAAAATCATTGAAAAGTGGGCAAGCATTTATAAAAATGTATTTAAATCAAATCATATTGTGTTTACTTTGAACCTGATGCTGAGGTCCGCCTGTGTCCAGGAGCACACCAGAGGCAGAGAGGGCTCGATTCCTAAACAACATGAGGATGTACATGTGTCTGGGTCATCTGCTCTGTCACTCTGGTATAACATTCATGAGAGGCATGAGAAGGGTGCAGACAGAGGAGCTGGTAGAGGTTCAGTGTGAAAAGGGGTCACAGGGAGCGGAGCAGGGTGTGGTGCTGAGCGGCCCGCCGGCTCTCAGTGCCCAGAGCTGGCACAGCATGTTGACACAGAGCCGGGGCCAGACCTCAAGCCTCCTTTTCAGCAAGAGGGAAAGAGGTGCGGAGATTCTAGGATGAGAGCAAGCAGTGAGCTAGAGCTTGGTTTATTTTGTCTTTCTTCTCCGATCACACTGTCTGCTCTTCTCTCTTTATAAAACGTTGTGTTATTTGGGTTAGCAGAGGGAGGTCAGATGCACGGTCTGTTACAGAATATTGCTCCTGGATGTGTCAGGAATGCAGTGTTTGGCGGTTCAGCAGGGTGAAAGCTTCTCAACCTGAACTCAGGTCTCCCTCCTCAGTGTCCCATCCTGCTGCTCAGTTTGCTTAGATAATAATCAGAGTGGAGAGGTAGGGAGTATTTCTCAGGAGAACTATGGTGCAACAAGTCCAAAGCAAAGTCCAGGTTATATTTACTAAGGATGCTAAAAGGCTCTTTATAACAGGTGCTATTGAAGCAGGCCTATATTATTACTGGGTATATGCTTTCAATTATGCTTTTAAAGTGAGGGTTAAATAAGCACAGTCCTAAAAGCCGAAAGTCATTTAGACTGAGTTTAACTTATGGATTCAAAAGGTAACTGCTTGGTTAATTGTGGCAAAGTTCACGTTATTTATGTGTTCATGGTACAATTATTGAAGCAATTAAAAAACTTTAAACTAAAGAACATCATCACCCAGCTTGAGAATGTAACATCTTATGATTAAAGGACTTGCATGGCTGTTGTTTTGGATTGCATCAGATATGATAGTGTGCCTGAATAACTATGCAACAACAACAAACTGGCAAAAGACTAAACTGACAGGAAGCAGAACAGCTGAGAATAAAAAGTCCAGAGTTTGCTCAGCATCACAAGACTGTGTGCCAGTCTCAGTTTCAACATACAAAGAAAAAAATTAAGAATTACATATTTCTAAATCAGTATTACAACCTTGCCCCATACATTTAAAAATGTGTTAAAGAAAGTGACTCCTATATTGGTTTAGAAATCTGCTGTGTGGACTCGCACAGTGGGGAAAAACTCATGAAATACTTCCTCCCTGCAGGTTGTGTCTGGGATTTCACACACGACGCCCTGTCTGCTGCCGTCTGCGAGTTCAACCCAGACAGCCCAAGTGTCAGAATGACCTGCGCTGCCATGACCTGGTTCCCTGTCCTCTCCCTCTCCCTCTCCCTTCTGCTGTTGTGCGTCAGTGACTCAACTGGCCTCTTCCTGCCCGACTCCAATGAGCTCAGGCAGCTGCTGAGCCGCTACGAGCGGGAAGCGGAGCAGAGCAGCAGCGGCCACACAGCCGGCAACAGGACCCGCCGTGCCGTCCGCTGGTCAGACCGCGAGGAGATCCTCCAGCTGCACAACAAGCTGAGGGGCGAAGTGTACCCCACTTCCTCCAACATGGAGTACATGGTGAGACATACACCAATCACCTATTGAGTTTAATTCTTAATGATGACTTTACATCACAAAGAACTTGCTTTGAATGTGTCAGCAAGCCTGAAAATGTGGTTGGTGATTAGATTAAGTTGTACTATGCCTAGAAAAGCATTATTCCTCTAATAAAAACCTTTTCTCTCTGCTGGAAACATGCTGTCATGATGGCAAACTGTTGCCAGCCGCTGTGCAGCTCTTTTACAAGGAGGATAATAATGCTGAGTCTGTCTGTCCTACCTGCAAACACCCCACACCAGAGATGACAGGAGAGCAAGGGAGGGATGGGTCAAAGGAGGACGGAAAGAAAAAGGCTAGACAGGGAAATCAAAGGACAGCATGTCACATTAATGTGTAAAGTATAAGAGTGTTTATTGTAGAGACACACAGGAAGTTTTCGAAAAGTACGAGCTCCATAAAGTTGAGAGAAGCAGTGGTGGCCTGTGAGTCTTTGGAGTGTGGTTATAGCTGTGAGGGAAACTATCTGAAGATTTACTCTGCCCAGTGCTCTCTCAAATTCCTGCGAACAGGCAGTGTGTGTGTTTGTGTTAGTGTATGGGTGTTTGGGGTTACAGTGATGACTGTGTGCGCATGTCTTAGAGACCACCAAAAGACTGGAAATGTACTGAGGGGATGTGCTTTGAGGGGCAATGTTGTATGCAGTCCTTCCTCCCTTCATAGCAACCAGTCCATGGTGGGAGTCAGGTGTCTTCTCCACTTTCCAAACACTTCTCCATCGCTGTAAAGTAACCCACTCAGGAAATGTGGATAATTCAGCTGTGATCGCTGGAGATTTGTAGTGGACCAGGGCCAGCTGCCCCTCTCAAATTTCACTATCAAAGGTTAATGTTGTACTCCTATCCAGCTCAGTTTCAGCTCACTGGGAAGGAAGGAAGTGAAGGAATTAAGGCGTTGACCAAGTTTTGGTTATGTTTCTACTGAGTCAGAACAAGATAATAATGCTTAGTCATGTAGCAGATGCAGCAGGTGAATGTCAAAGGTCTTCTCATATGGGTATAAAGAAAGTGAAAACCTTGTCAGAGAGTTGTTTTCCTTCATGTGTACAGGTCTGGGATGATGAGCTGGAGCAGTCCGCTACTCACTGGGCGGAGCAGTGTCAATGGGACCACGGACCTCAGGACCTGCTCATGTCTATCGGGCAAAACCTGGCTGTTCACTGGGGGAGGTGAGATACAATAATACACATAGCATAACAAAAACACAGATATCGATTATTATAACAGGGGACGAATACTCCAGATTGTCAAAAATACTACTACCAGTGCTATAAAACAGTTTCAGGTATTAAATGCAAAATAAGAATAACATTTTGTTTTTTAAACTGCTTTTGATTCCCAAACCTATGCAGCACAAACTGTTTTTTTGAGTTAATCTGTCACATATTAACAGTGTTAACTGTAGGACTTTCTACTTTTGCCTTCTTTATAACAGTAAGTATTTTTTTAACTGTCAAGAGGAAGTTGTTTCCTGTTAACTAAAGTGAGGAGAGCTGCTCCTTTAAAACAATATTAGTCCATTAATATGTGTGAAGTACAAGCATGTGTAGTGCTAGTCCTGCCCTTCCAGGAATCTGCTCCCATTCTCACAGCTGCTCTCTTCCCTCCCTGTTCACTTCTTTTCTTCCTGTGCCAGCAAACCGTGATGTGGAGTCCTTTTTTTTTTCCACTCCCCGTCTACTCTCTCCATTTATAAGCTCAGCACTTTTCAATACCGTAAAAAGACATGTTTATAACAAGAGCTTGAAAAGATTTGTTGGGCTGTGGAGCCATGTTTATGTTTTCTCTTATCCTTTTTTTCAAACTGATTTGATTTCCCCTGTTATGGAGGGGGAGCAGGCTAGGTCTGTGTGCCAGGTCAAATTCAGACTCATCATTTGAGGCCTGAAGGGAGGAGGAGGGGCAGTGAGGTGTATGCAGTGTTTCTAACGTCTGGCCAAAGCACCTGGCAGCTGTCTCAGATATTTCCCTTTGCCCCTGGTACCTGGACCTCCTGTGACTGAGCCCACTGTCTGTGTGTGTTTGTTTGTGCGCGTTCGCCCTACAGATATCGTTCTCCTGCCTTCCATGTCCAGTCCTGGTACGATGAGGTGAAAGACTACACCTACCCCTACCCCAGTGAGTGCAACCCCTGGTGTCCAGATCGCTGCTCCGGGCCCATGTGCACCCATTACACCCAGGTAAGAAGGGGAATGAGTTCAGGAGAAACATTTAAGAAATGTTAAAGGGAAAACTGCTTGTCTTGGGGAGTTAAATTCTAAAAAAAGCTGTATAAAAACTTTAGGTGTCTGCACGAAGACTTAAAATGGCCACATATGATATTCAGTTTGACTGTTACAAAAACACACAAATCTCCCACCAAACTGTCATTAGTTATTTTGGCCAAGTGATTCCTATAACAAAACACATGGCAGTAAGTTAAAACCTTACTTTCAAGATGATCAGTGATCCAAGAAGGTGTCATTTTTTTGTTGAAATACATTTTTCCACTTGCCCTTGAAGCGCATACTGTAATGTGTACCATTCGTATGATCAAATCTGTTTAGTATCAGGTCTTGTGCCTTCTTTTATCTCAAACAGAACATATTTTACCACATGTGGTGTGCACTATATGATGTATCACATCATTTATGTGCAGAGTTTTTGAGGGACTAAGGGGTTAAATGACAGACAAACACGTAACTTGTAGACAGTGAAGAAATCATAAATAATAGACGGAAAGAAGATTCTAAAAGTTGATGAGAAAATAAGGAAATCAATCAAAAGGAGACAAACTGGCGAGTTGGCAACCTCTTCCTCTAGACTTTACTTTGTAGCTGCTGAGATGAGTTTACAGAAATATCCCTACTCCTCCCTCTGCCCTCACCCTGAAACCTGATCACTGCCATCTGGTAGTCATTTCCAGACACACCAGACACCACTCACTGCTTGACCTGGATTCTTCTGAAGATGCTGCAGAGAGGAGACCGTGCCAAATCTGAGCATCGTCACCCTATCTATGTCCTTCAAAACCTGGAAGTGCCCTTAGAACAGGCACTCTACATAGCTTCCTCTGCACATAAATTAGACCCTGTGGATAGACAGAGTGCATTGAGTTGACAGCCAGCCCTCATCAGTCTGTGTGCTGACTCACTGCTTCCAGTGGCTTCTGTACCAAGGAAAAGATGAACATTCCTGAGGAGGGAGAGCGCACATGTTTCAGAATTTGGGAGGAAAGTGAGGAGGAGTTATGGAACATGCTGTGTTGTATTTGCTGTCAAATGACACATCATTTATCTGAAACACCACTGCAGCAGCTTTCCGTTTAATAAGGCGTTTTATTTTCCCTTAGACAGTTTTGAGATTGTGCTGACTTGTCTTTCTTCTGAGTTAAGCTATACAAGCATTACCACTTCTATTGGGATGATGAACATGTTCATAATGGGGGAACAGATTGCCAACTGGTTTCACACTTAACATGCATGTGACTGGGGCAGAATAACAGACTGGGCACTTCTGGAAGTCCCAGTGGCCCTATTAATCGTGACTGCCTATCTAGTTGCTTCCTCTGGAATGACTGGTTGAACAATGGGGCTGTGAGAAAAGTCCTTGCTTTAGTTTGCTCTGCTCTGTCTGTTCATTCAGCATTTGCTTATTCTAACTATGGCCATTATTTTATTCCGCTTCTTACAGCTGGTCTGGGCCACCACTAGCCGAGTGGGCTGCGCCGTGCACACGTGTCCAAGGATGGACGTGTGGGGAGAAACATGGGAAAACTCTATATACCTTGTGTGCAACTACTCCCCAAAGTAAGCTCAAAGTTCCTCTATGTTGCAGTGTCCCATCAACATCTCTGCTCTCGAGACTCTCAACATTCTTCGTCCTTACAGTGCTCACACATTAGGGTGTTTCCTTCAAATAGCTGCCCAATGGATATTTAGCACCGGTTGTCTGAAACATTAGTATAATGTATTGAAACCATTAAAATTCCTCCAGAAGTCAGAATAGAAAAATAATAATGAAGCACAAGGTAAGAAAAATAAGAGCAGAGCAGGCCCTTGTTTTCCAGAGAGCCCACAGGATGTAATTGCTGGAGAGACAAAGAGGAGTGTTTTATTAGTTTGTGGGATTAATGACTATTATGGATGTTGTAATTACAAGGCCTTGAGCCCGGTAACGCTTGAGTGATGATTCCTTTCCACCTTACTCAAGCTGTGCACTGTTCACTTCTGCAGGGGCAACTGGATCGGCGAGGCTCCATACCAGCACGGCCGCCCTTGTTCCCAGTGCCCTCCCAGTTTTGGAGGAGGATGCAAGAATAACCTGTGCTTCAAGGGTGAGCAGACCCACATGGTTATCATTTAAATATAGTAACAATAAACGTGTTACCAAACCTGAACCCATATCTGTTTGAACATATAGACTCTCAGCGCTCAGAGACAGAGGATATGAATGAGGTGGAGAAGCCTCAGGTTCCACTGCCACCTCGTACCACCGCCAAACCTGCGCCCAAACCTAAACCATCTGCTCCGAAGAAACCAGCGTCCAAACCGTCCGTCCCTAGACCCACCACACCCAAGAACCCTTCCTCAAAGACTCCCAGCAACACCTTTCTTGGTAGCTACAGCAGTTATTTTTTTTAAACAAGTGAAAGTTTCCTGTTTTGTGTGTTTCCTTACAGATTTTTTGTCTCGTTCTTGCAGTTCAGACCATTAAGTGTGAGACTAGACTGCGAGACAAGTGTAGAGGTGCAACCTGCAACAGGTCAGGCTATTTTTTATGATGTGCATGAAATACGTTTTATTGCCTCTGATTTATCGTGCTCTTCCTCTCGATATCAACTCACTTTTTTCTCCATCTAATTTTCTGGCTGTAGATATAATTGTCCTGCCAATTGTCTGAATAAGAAAGGAAAGGTTTGGGGAACTCTCTTTTACGATGTGGTGAGTCTAGCTTACAATAAAAAAACATATGCAACAATTCATACATTACACTTTATATTTACAAGTATAATTATTTTTTGTTTCAGCAATCAAGTATTTGCAGAGCTGCTATACATTTTGGTGCCATTGACAACAACGGAGGAGTGGTGGACGCCACAAGGATGGACAAGTTTCCATTCTTTGTCAAAGCTACAAAGAATGGCATCGAGTCCTCCAGGTAGATTTGTTGCCCTAGTTTTGTCTACATGATACAACACGTTTCTCTGCTTCTACGAGTCACATTTTGTGCAATAAGGGAGCTTTTTAAAGATTTCTATTGTTTCCTGTTTCTTAAACATCACAATGTCTTTTACAGTAAATACAAACCTGGCAATGCCTTTGTGGTGGCCAAAACAGAAGGTAAGTGATCAAAGGTTTCCAAATAAGAGCTTGAGTCATGATTGCTCTTAAATTCACAGGCTGCCAAACACACATATTAAGGGTATTTCTCTCTCTCTCTGTGACAGAAATGACTGCTGACTGCTACACCACAGTGGCTGAAATCTGCCCTTACAAGAAGCTCAACTCTAACTGTCCAAGGTGCTTAAATAAACTTGTAATTTTTTTAAATATGACTTTCTAGGACAGGTTATAATTGTTAGAAATACTCTAGATGAGATAACACAAAAACATCCTAATATTTCATTACATTACATTACATTGCATTTAGCTGACGCTTTTATCCAAAGCGACTTACAAGAAGTGCTTTCGACCAACAATTTCACTTTGTTATAAAATCATTACAAAATATACAGTGCTTATAAATGCCTAATAGAGGATGTTTAAATATTGTGTGAAAAAAACAAAACCCTTTTCCATTAATGTGACCCCTTATCCGTCAAATTTGTTTCTCAGAATCTTCTGTCCGGCCAACTGCAAGACTCAGCCATCCTATTGGTCACCTGTGATTGGAAACAACATCTACACTGATGTAAGTAAAACACTGTTTTAGATGTGCTAACAGAAAGAAAATGAAAGTGAATCTGCCACATGGTTAAGTTTGAGTGAGGTAAGACTAAGTTAGACTTAGTAATGCATGGCAGCTACGGAGAGCTGTTGAATCACAGTGGGAATACAGCTCATGGAGAATGGGAGTAACGGTGAGGTAAGCCAGAGACTACCAGGGATGTATTACCCAGCATGGGGCCTGACCACTCAGAGGATTATTCAAGTGTTATCTCTCAGTGTTTGTTTCTCAGAGAGAGGAGATGGCAGAAATCTTTTTATGAAATCTGGTTTACATCATCACTCTGTAGTCACCTAAATTATGTTCAGAGTAGATTAGTCATTGTAAAGTACCCTCCAGGAAAAGAAGGGTAGACATTTGTGTCACTCTTGTGGATTTGCCAGTTGTCACAGTCTCATGAGGTCAACGTAGTGTTAAACAGGGTTTTACCCTTTTAACCGACCTTAGATGACGTCCAGCTGGACACTTATAACAGTTTCCCATAGATCTTAAAGGTCCTACAATATTAGAAAAATAAAGGCAGCAGTGTGACTCATAGCAAGTTTGCCAGGAATGTTTTTGCAATCTCAGGCAACCAAATGTGTTTCTACAGTGGTGTAGAAGCTGGATTTTGGTTAAACAGGAGACATAAACCATCTGGTGATAAATACTGTATGAGTGTATGGACAGTGGGATCTGTGTTTAGACTAGAAAGGAATGATTCAGCTCCAGACTGCTGATAAGAGCTTACGGTTTGTTGCACTGACTGTGAAACAAAATGCTTGGGTGACTTTGAATTATTGTCATATGTTTTGTACTGTATTTGGTAATAAAGGCATTACAAAGATTTGGAAAAAGTGTTAACCATCTTGTAAAAGCATGTCTCCTCTTTGCAATTATTTCTCCCCTCAGAGCTCCAGTATTTGTAAATCAGCCATCCATGCAGGGGTCATCAAAGCAGACGGTGGTTTTGTGGATGTTCTGCCCCTGGACAAGAGAAAGAACTATGCCGGAGTCCTGAAAAACGGCATCCAGTCTGAGAGGTACCATTTCATTTCTTTACTGTAACTGTCTCTCTTGGATAAGGATTGTTTGCACAATAACAACATGTACAAAACTGAATGGGTTAAGGCATTTTGTTAAATAGTCTTTTAACATGTTAAAATGGCCGTATTAGAGATAATCTAAGGCTAATAATCTTTGGCTCCGAACTGTCTGGCTTCAGAGTTAGAGAAACCTTTTTTATCTAAAAATACAACCATTCATGTTTAGACATGATATGTAGCCGCTTCCAACTACAAGCAACTGTCTGGGAGCTTTGAAACTGCAAAGCCTTCATAATTATAAAGAAAGGTTCATATTAAAGCCTCGGGAAGTGTGGAGTTTTATCACTAAAAACATATGTATGAGCACTTTATAGATGTGCAACATGTAATCTGCTGAAGTGTTATAGGAGTGAGGTAGTTTGTATTGGTTGGTGGTTAGGATCCCCTGATAATGTCATAATAGTTTCCCAAACCGCTTGCCACATGGTCTTTGCAAAAAATGGTCTCAGCCAGAAATCTGCTCGGATTTATGCAAGGTCAGCAAACTAACTGCAATACCAAGAATGATTAGTGCCACCTAAGAAGGTGTACCGCCCTAACAGGTGCAACAAGTACAGGAGAGTCAAGACTGCACACAACCCAAACAGTCTATAAAGTATATGCCCGATTGGGAACACCTGTGTCAGTAGGTGTTTGGTGTCTTTAAAGATACATTTTGCTTCATAATTAGACTGACAATGTAGTTTTATTTCTGACGTTATGTCGTTTGCGTTGGGTAAGTACTATAGGGAATGTTTTTGCTTTTTAAAAAAATTAACCTCGGTAATTTTTTTTTAATACTAAATAAAAAAATATCTATGTATAAAATAATATTTGTCTTTAATGCTTTGACCAGCTTAGGCCATAATATTTGACCGGTTGGAGTCTGGTAAAGAAAAACCTTGAGATACAAATGAAATTAAAAAGAAAGTCTCAAATATATCTTAGAAAAGGTGCTGTTATTCACTATACTAGCTTGATTTATGTCTCCAGTAATATTGCATGCAGGGGGTTCCCTGCAGGCGCTCCATGTTTCTCACATCACTCTCATGGCCTCGGCCGGCTGCAGTGGACTGGCTCCGGCCAGGAAGCCGTTGCGGGCAGTTCTGCTGGCAAGTGGGGTTGTAAGAGTAATGGTGTGGTTTGGTGTGTGGATGGGCCACACATGGGATCTTTGCTTACTTTACACAGGCATTTCAATTGAGTGTGCAATGTGCTGAATGGCCAAAATATTCCAAGTCTGACTACTATGAAATCTAATGCAGAACTGCGAAGGCCTCGCTCAGGGCACTGGGAGAGGAGGTCAATAAACGGCGGAGAGAGAGTCTGTGCCATGTGCCAACATCATGGCAGGGTGGGCAGCTTGGACTGGACTCTGTTTCTGGGGAAGTAATCACAGCCTATCTGATTACTCGAGGATGGAAAGGCTGTATTCCACTTAGTCAGTGCTTTCCTATATGGACAATTATATGTGATCTGATACCAATCGCACTGGCCTATCATGATTATTGATCATGGCAGAGCCTCAAGGTCTCTCCAACAATGAACTAATTACAAAGTCATCAGGTTTAACACATGTAGGAAAAGGGCAGACTCAGAAATTCGGCAATAATGAGTCATAATGCCAACACGCCATTTCCAAAGATATTGTGCACACCATGTTTGTGTGATTTTTATTGAATTGGTGACTAGGAGAAATTGGTCAATACTAAAAGGCAGACTTCTTGGTATCACAAAACCAAAAATATGGAAAAACGTGTATTTATTTATATGAGTCAAAGGGGGATTTTGCGCTTCAATTTGCTCAGCACGGGAAGTACTACTTTCCCTTTGAACACAGTATAATGGGGCTCTCTTATAACTCAGTATCAGTATAACTCGGACTGTGCTGCTTCAAATTTGATCATGCCTCTCCAAAATATAATTCACAATTCCAGTGACTTGTTTACAGTTACATACTTATTGCTGGAGTGCCCTGAGTGGCATCTGTATAAATGGTCTTGGTTGTAACACGCTTTTTGTTTCCTGTTTGCAGTAAGAGCCACACAGAGGGAGGTTCTTTCCGTCTCTTTGCTGTGAGGGAGTGAGACTTCAGATCAGAAGTGCAGAGAGTCACCTCAGCGGCTCCTCGTGAGCAGGAAGTGCCCACAGGTTGGAAACCATGGTCGTTCATCTGTCTCTGTGCCTTTGTCAGAACAGACAGAACGTTCCAATACATTTCCAACCGGTAAAAGTCCAGTATTTTGATGGACCTTTATTTTTTTCTCAACTCCAGATTAGATACTTCTTAATAGTGACTTAATCTGTGAAACACGCGTTATATATATTATTATGCATTTAACAGCTGGTGCTGGAAGTTTTGAGTTGTTTTACAGAAAGTATTATGTTTACATGTTTTTATTAGAAATTCAAAATGGTTTTCATACACAGGAATGTATAATGATCACACTTAATCATTGTGTACAGAATATATGATATTTTGTTTGTTTTAAAAATGGAGTACCATATATTAAGGTCTTATTTGATTGTATTGCCTTTTCTGCTCATCTGGATCATCTTTGCTTTTTGCTCTTAAGTATTTAGCTAAGTCATATTTATAGGTTAAGTGGTTTACTCATTGTAAGCGTGGACATTATGTTAGCTGGGTGATAAATGGAAGTGTATACAGGCAGCGGGCACTGCTGTACATAGATTTAGTTTCCCTTAAGAAGGCTAGTTTCACTTCAGTGCCAGGCATGTTGAGGTGAGTTAGTAGAAGTGTTACGTTGCTAAGTCCACTGTTAAGTATATGAGCTATGAGTTATATGAGTATATGAGTACACAAGATAACAAGCTGCCATTTTATATTTATTATTGCTAAGTGCTTTCCTAGTATTCTAATCTCTCTTGTTTCTGTAAATAAATGAAAATTCAAAATGTGTCCCCTCCCCACCTAAGACAGATGAATGTGTCACATGTTCAGGAGAGTTTAATGTGTAGAGACTAAATCCTATCTCAAGGGGTGTGAACGATTTTTGTTATCATTAAACTGCAAAATGTTACACTTTGCAGCACATCCAACAAACAAATGTAGTATCACTACACCGGTTTAAGGCACTGTTGCCATTGGTACCTAATTTTAGTACTATTCTTAAAGCAATGCCTCATTTTATAAAAACGTACTAGCTTGCATTTAGTTTTTTGCACAGGAAAAATGCATTTTGAGCTTAGTTATCATCCCTCATGTTAACTAAGGTAAAGTGCAATTTGTGCTCCAGTACTTGGATGTCATAACAATAAGTATAGTCACTCTATCTCTTTGTTTCCCGGGGAATACAAACCATGCTAGTACAGAATGTTTTTAGAGTAAATACCTGGCCAAGAAAAAACTATCTTTATCTCTTTATTCTACCTCAGTCCTATCGCTACGCTGGGCAGTTAAGTCTTTTCTATAAGGGAATTTTCATGGGAAATGCTCAAGGTTTTGTAAAGGTTTGGGAACTGTAAATACTTAGATTATTCTGTTTTTAATAATCCTTATTGCAGTAAGATATAATTAATGTGTGTGATTTTGTTTAAATTGTCTTGTTTTTATACTGGTGTAGGATGGGTTGTATATGTTTTGCACAATTTGAAAATAAAGTAAGATTTACAAATGCTACAACTGTTTCTGTGAACCATTTGTCCAGTAAATATATGCTTTTATTTTACCCTTTTAAGATAAGATGGACTTTTATTAATCCCTCGTGGGGAAATTGTTTCTCTGCATTTGACCCATCCTAGTGTTAGGAACAGTGTGCTGCCATTTTGAACGGCGCCCGGGGAGCAGTGTGGGGAACGGTGCCTTGCTCAGGGACACCTCGGTAGCACTTGGTCTTGCCGGGACTTGAACTGGTGACCTTCCAGTTGCCAAGCCAAGTCCCTATCGACTTCGCCACCACCGCCCCTTCTATTGAAGTTTGGGCCACAGTGGCATTTCCACATGAGAGAAAATCTTTGTGATCTCTACTTTCTCGAATCTAGTTTGTCCAGTCCTGCATACATTATTTATTACGAATGAAATGTAGCCCCAGGCCACCCAGGATAGTCCGTTATCATTGGAAGAATATCGCTGACCATGTTCATAACCTGGCTCTGCTCCTTTCGGACATACACAGAGGGAAGTGGAACAATACATCGAAGCAATCGCTTTTACTTAAGGACCACATACATAATCTGCCAATAGGGCTTTGGTTTATGGTGGAATGATTTCAGGAGAAAGAAAGTAACTCCTAGGATCCTGATACATTTCCATGACCTTGTAAACTCCCATGTTACAACCTCATTATCTGAGATAATCACTATTCCATAAATGCGGTTATTATTTGTCTCAGAAAAAGGGAGAGATGATCAGAGCATGTGAGGACTAACTTCATACATCCAGGGCTTTTATAAAAGGCAGATGTTCAGTTTCAATTAATCCATGGTTGGACAGGGCCCTGGCCACTTTACAGATAAACAGCTCCAACTGGCTCGTGTGATGACTGTTTTCCTCCTATTGTCAATGGGGAAAAAGATTTGTACTCACCGTTAATCCACTGACTCCTCAAAGGAATATTGATATTAATCTAGTCATTGCAGGTCTGTCACAAGAAAATAACTGAATTCAAACAGATTACCTTGTGTTTCCTATCTGCGAACACACACAAGCTTTGGAAGTAATTGTCTAGTTATTTGGGCATTGAGCCACCACCACATTGCTTTTATAGGAGAACATGTTCCTTTAGCATCTCTACTGTACCAAAAAAGTGCAACCCCTTTTTCAAAAATCTGTCACGTGTCAAGAAATTCAAAGAGATGGATGCACTGTGTCTAGCAGAAGTTTGGTGAGCCAATGGTTCTCAAACATTTCTGCAACTTTTTCCTTTTGGGTGTAAAGTAAATAGAAGTTCTTCTTTTGTGATCTAGCAATGAATTCTCTACTTAAGTGCCATAATGTGCATGAGCATTTTTGTAAATCGTGCTTCATCTCCAAATCACTCGCAACAAAGGGATTACATTTGAGATGTTTCGTTGAATTTTGTTGACAACAACTGTATAAGAAAGAGTGTCCACAAATTATCTGATGGAAAATTGACATTTGTGGAAATGTGTGTTTTAAAACAGCTTTGGAAGATTGGTTAATGCAGTAAAGTTAATATATATTCAGTGCAGGACCTCCAGGCAGGATCTTGATCACTGGACAGAAATTAGTTGTTTGTATGAGTGTCTATGGTCAGAAAGGCCAACAGTACAGCACATGGTTTCAAAAAAGCCAGTAGACTAGATTGTTTGGAAGGATTTTAGATTCTCAAAAGAGGCGTAAAAGAGATGTGGATCATGTTGTTATGATAGGACTATGTCTGGCCTTCTTATAAATGTGGAAAGAGTTGTTGATACAAAAGGAGGATAGAGGCGTTAGCCATCTATCTAAAGGGAGTATTTGAAATGCAACTGAAATCAATAGGTTTAAATGTCTTCAAACATTTAAACCTATTGATTTTACTCAATATTATCTTTTTCATAAAGTTTACACCGTGTGTAGTCTCAGGAAAATTATTCAGTGAGGCAATTTAACTGGAAGTAATTTAGTGTGATATTATTTAAAAAAGGATTAAGGTAAGATAATAACAAACCATAACATTGGCTAAGTAAAATAAGAAGTTAAATTAACAGTTCTAAACCAGAATTAAAGGACACCTATCATGCTATATTTGAACAATATATTGTAGGGCCATACCTATATAAAGTATATAAATATAGTTTTTTTTTCAAAATACCAAAAAGATCATGCATTTTAGCCATGCCTCATTTCGCTCTATTTGCTCTTTCCAGCGCTGTTTTTGCAGGGGGCTGATTCTGTGAGCTGCAACTGACCACGCCCCCCTGCAGGAGAGGGGAGCCTGCTCTGAGATCAGCTGCTAGGCTGCAGCGGGGAGAAGAGGGGGAGAAAAAGAGATCTCCGTCCTCCGTGTTTTATTCTTATAGAAGTAAGAAGAGAAGTAATGGGGCAGAAACCCTCCTTTTTACGCAGCGGTCCAGACATAGACATCAAACGGCGACACATATTCAGTTGCCAGTTACTTTGGCATTACGGCAGGGATATCTAGATACTTTCCAAGGTTTGACATAATGAATTGTGCTACTTTTAAAGCAAGCAACGATGTTTTCAAATCTGTAATCAAAAAGCTCCTCAAAAACACTATCGAAGCAGTTCCTGCCGTTGCTACGTTAGTTCAAAACAGTAACAACGGACTATTTTTCTTAGCGGATGCATGTCAATTTAATTCAATCTAGATCGCTCCGCTTCGCGTCGGGCTCCTGATCAGCCTGTCGGTGTTCTTTTCCCCATAATGACTGCGTAGCTGCACATTATCCCTTACATATGATTATATAGAGTCATTATTCATTTGTTTTAAAGCAGAAGGCGCAAAAGCTTGCCTCGGGGAGGGAGAAAAAGTGCCACAGCGAGAATAAACAGAAGGGCAACCATGGAAACCATGCGCGGGAAGACTTCTTCGCTGCTTTTGTGGCAGAATACAGCGCCACTTACAGGCCTGGCATATGTACTACAGCGTCTCCAGCGCTTTCGAGCAGCAATGGCCGGCATGGCCCAACCTCTCATTCCCCTGATAGGTGGAGAATTGACCAATAGCCGTAGCGCCACTTTACTGACGTCAGTAAAGTGTTCAAATCTGGATCAGTCTGTATCAGATCCGTTGCAGCCCCTTTTTTAGAGATTTGGGTATGGAGGAAAATAGAGAGGGTTGTGTTTTCTGACACTTGGTGAGTTCCCTGGAAGACCGGGGACACATATTCATGTATAAAAGACGTACAAAAGTGCATTTTGCATGATAGATCCCCTTTAAAGTAAAAATATGAGGAAACTAAACCAACACAGATTGTGCCTTTAAAGGGGACCTCTCATGCAAAATGCACTTTTTGATGTCTATTATACATAAATATGTGTCCCCGGTGTGTCAGGGAACTCACACAGCGTCAGAAAATAAAACCCTCTCTCTTTTCCTCCGTACCCAAATCTCTAAAAACGGGGTTACAACGGAGCTGATCCAGATTTGCTTCTGATATGACGTAATATCGGAAATGTAGGCTGGCTTTACACCCACGGCCCTATCAGAAACGTTGCTGTCAGAAACAATGCCCGACTGTTTTGGATGTAATATGGTCGGTGTTTACATTAGCATCGCTAACACTCAGAGCTAACCTGTACTGCACAGAGCATGTGTGTGAAGAAGCAGGAAATAAAAAGGAACTCACCTTGTGGTATAACCGGCAAGAGAGAAAGCCTTTGAGCTCCATACTGTTTCAGAAATAATCCTTGATATTCCATGATATGGCGTTTTATCACCGCAGTATCTGCCGGTAGCATCTCCCGCATGAGCTCAGTCCCCTCCTTTTTTTCTTTCATCAATTTTTTTTAAAGCTTTATATCCAAAATCAGCACTTTTGAAACAGGAAGTGAAATAGAGGGATATGAAGCATGGCTAGAATGGGTGATCTGTTTGGTATTTTGAGCAAAACACTTCATAGACATGTTTTTTATATATTTGTATATATCTGAGACCTATACTATTGCCTAAAAATAGCATAGGTGACCTTTAAGTTTGTTTGGCTGAAGGTATCTGGTAGTGCCACCTGTGGTAATTGATCACAGGTTAGACAGAGGGAGGAAGAATGAAAAAAAAGACCTGAGAGACTAAAAGCGGGAGACCTAGAAACACTAGGCTCTTTTAGCCTTGTGACAGCAGTATGAATAATCCGATGAAAATTGTAGGAATAGAGCATGAAGAACATTTCTAGCTTAATCTCCGTTGAAGAGAAGTATCTGTCCTAACTGCTAAGCTAACGCTGTAAATCGCTGTATTATAGACACGCTGCTGTCAGGAGGGAGTGTTTCTGGAGAAGACTGAAAACTCACTGTAAATTACTCTTTCTGTCATTTTGATCTCCCGAGGATAAAGACTCGACCCTTAACTCCAGGCCTGCAGCTCAAGAACCTGAGGTTTTGAATTTCCATTGGTTATTCGACATGAATTAGCTCTAGCAAAATCTGCCAGGATTTTAGTTGCAGGCCTATAGTTTATTTTGTTAAATAATATTCAATTTCATTCAGCATATTGTTTTCATTCATTGATCTTCTAATTATAATAAGTACATTCTTTAAGATTATTATGAAAGTTCACTTTTTGCATCTTATTTGGTAAATACTATTTGTATAATGGACACACAATATTGTCTTTGGTGAAGTAGAGCAGAGAAAACTTAAAAAGATGTAATGTTACATTTGACAGTGTTTTTGCTTATAGTTGCCTACATTGTTTACCCTGAACAGGTAAACCTTAATCGGAGAAACCAAACCCAAACATCCTCTCGTTCCAGTCTAAAGTTAATTGATATCTACTTTACCATAATAAAGAGTGCAAAGGTGCAATATTTTAAAATCTAAAACAGAGGACTGCTCTACAGCCTCACAGAGATGCTAGAGTGCCTGTAGACTCTGATCTTGTTCATATATCTCTTGTTTCCTAGCCTACATAACTACACTTGTAAATGTAACATTAGGAAAGCAAAAGTGGGCAAGGAGAAGCAATTCTTACAGAACCCTG